GAGTCTGTAATTGGTCACAGCAAATTATCTGTCAAGAAACCATTTTAGGCAAGGTTTCTGTGTTCGGATGTTATTAGACACGATAAGAGAACAATGAACTTCTTTTGCAGATGAATAATCTGTTGGTTAAGAGAAATAAACAAAATTATGAATGTCCCAATCCAAGCGCATTCAAACGGCTCTGCCCTGAACTTTTTTGCAACTATCTGGGTAAGTTACATAGTATTTTTAGGCTGCTGATCCGTGCACTTTGAGAATTGTTTTTTAGAGATGAATTAAATGGTTTTTGTTGCTGAGTAGCGCTAGTAAACATGCACAACCCTTTTAGTTAGTCTAATAACATTCAAAGGGTTCTTTAAAAGTTTTAGGTATAATTTGTATATCCATATCATGTTTTCACTAAGCTGAATGAATACATCGAAGTAACATTTCTGAAAAGTCTGCAGTAAATTGCAATTTTCCTGCTTGATGACTTTCCAAATCATGCACACATTTCTACCCAAAATTAATAAAAATTCAATCCAGTAGCTGGAAACTAATATTAATTTACAGCAACGTGCCCTTCTGCACTTGTATTATTTTGCAAGCTATTTCACTGTCGAAAATTGTTCCAATGTTCAAAAACATGTATGACAATAATCTTATGAACTTATGATGATCTGCAGTGGTGGCGATAAGAACCCGCGGGCCCCCCCGCAAGTTTGTTTGCCGGGCCCCCCTCTCCCAATGATCTTTAAAAACATTTTTCCATGTATTACCGCATAAACTTGCAATTTTGCAATAAACTTGACAAGGCTTCTCCAGAGGCGTCATTATCGTCTTCCATGATCGCGGCAAAATCGTAAATACTTCCCGTAGTCATAAGTCATGGAAGAAACATTATCATAGTTTACCGTGATTGCAAATGCAACCAAACCTATGACATCATTAGATAGCAGCATCACCGTCTCCCGCTTTCACGGCCCAATCTAATATCACGGCCTAATATATCCCCGCGACCTGTCATCAAATCGTTTATCCGTAATCGCGGCTAAATCCTAGATATATCTCTCGCTAAAAAAGAAACGTCATTATCGTCTTCCGCAATCGCGATAAAATATTGAACATCTGCGGCCGCGGAGACATCGTCATCGTCACAGAAATGTTCTCGTCGATATCCGCGATCGCGGCAAAAGCGTAGGCCTAATCTTTCAATTTCGTGAGCGTGATCCTCACGGATATTAAAGCTTTTACTTTTAATTGTGCATTATTGTATTGAATACTGAGAAAATTGGCTCGAGATTGATTTTCTGACTTTTGCTTGATCTCTCAAGCTTGTAGTCCAGGCTCTGCTCGGCTCGAAAATCGACATTATAGGCCTATTATAAAAATCAACCGTTTCCAAAGCAACCCGATCTTGAACGCACTAAAAATGTTACTAAGGGCCTCAGGCCAAATCAGATCGGTTCAAAACCGGGTTGTTTTGGAAACGGTTGATTTTTATAATAGGCCTATAATGTCGATTTTCGAGCCGAGCAGAGCCTGGACTACAAGCTTGAGAGATCAAGCACAAAGTCAGAAAATCAAGCTCGAGCCGATTTTCTCAGTATTCAATACAATAATGCACAATTATTAAAAGTAAAAGCTTTTATATCCGTGAGGATCACGCTCACAAAATTGAAAGATTAGGCCTACGCTTTTGCTACGATCGTGGATATCGACGAGAACATTTCCCCGCGGGTGACGATGACAGAGGCCACATTGGTCTTTACGCAATTCAAAACTCTATGTGTTTCCCTTTAAAAGATTGTCCACGATCATTAAATGATATTTAAAAAAAGTGATGGATAAATTAATTTAAAACTTATTAAACCGGGACTTGAAAGGTGTGATATGTCGTCTGTTCCAATACTACTTCAATTCTGAAGCTAGATCCGTTAACCACCATTGGATCCAGTTGGACTATATACATCGATGGCTACATCCACTCATATCAGTGCAAAAGTGATAAAGCTACAAGTTTAATGGCTGCAAAAAAAGGTTCATACTATTTTTCCTGACGGTTGTTTAGACCAGGGGTCACCAACCTTTTTTACTCGAGGACCACATTGAAAATTTTTTGAGGAAAGGCAAAACGAAGGAAATAGTTTTTGATGATACAAGTTTAAATGACAAACTACAATAAAAAAATAAAATAAATAAAAAAATAAACTACAATGGAAAAAGTTATATCATCATTAAAAAATAAAAATTCCAGTGGCTATGATGAAGTGCCTGTTACACTTCTTAAGAGTATAAAATATGAGATAAGCCAAATTATAGCTCACTTAATTAACTCCTCTTTCGTTACAGGTATATTTCCAGATCAATTAAAGAAGGCAAAAGTCATTCCAGTACATAAAAAGGATGACACAAAAAATATTATTAATTATCGACCTGTTTCGTTGTTACCAGCCATTTCCAAAATTTATGAAAAAATAGTAAATAGTCAGCTTACATCATACCTTGAAAAATTTAATCTGATGGATAGTAATCAACATGGGTTCAGGTCTGGGAGATCGGTTGTTACTGCTGCTGTTTCATTTATAGAATCAGTAATTGACCGTGTTGATAAAGGTGAAAATACAATTGGCATATTCATGGACCTATCTAAAGCTTTTGATAGTGTCAAGCATTCTTTACTTTTGAAAAAATTACAAACTATTGGAGTATCAAATAATTCATTGCAATGGTTTCATTCATATCTAACAAATAGAACTCAATATGTAGAAATCACACATCAAAAAAACGATAAAATCATTAAGACAGCATCAGATTTAAAGACAATAAAATATGGCGTTCCGCAAGGGTCTATTCTTGGTCCATTGCTTTTCCTGTGCTATGTCAAGGACATGGACAAATCACTTTCATGTAAGCCTATCAGTGAACTATGCCTGTATGCTGATGATTCTAATTTACTCATTTCAACACCTAAAATAGAACAAACGGAAATGGCGGCTTTCATAGAACTTGGAAACCTTGGAGATTACTTAACGTATCAAAATTTAACATTAAATCATGATAAAACAAATTTTATTACATTTAAAACTCCACAAAGTAAAAGTCAAATAGAACCAATGATTGTGTCTGATTCCCACATAATTGATCCAAAGTCAAGTACAAATTTCCTTGGCCTGACTATCGATAAACACCTTAATTGGAATGAACACGTGAACAAGATCTTGACAAAAATGAACTCTGGCATTCACGCGCTTTCAAAAATGTCTTTTTATTGTAATGTAACAACATTGAAAAATATTTATTTTGCTTACATACATTCTCATATTTCTTTTGGTATTTGTTTATTTGGAGCAACAAAAAAAGCAAATTTGGATGGTATGTTAAGACTCCAAAAGAGGTCTATAAGAGTAATGCTGAAATTGAATCAAGATGATTCGGCCAGAGAACATTTCAAACAGTTAAAAATACTGACGGTTTATGGCCAATATGTTCTTGACGTCATTTTGTGTGCAAAGAACAAAATTCCTAATGATGTCCCTCACGAACCCACACATCATTATAACACTAGAAAAAAGAACTCTATAAGGCAAAATCAGCACAGACTGAAGCTCTATGGAAAAAAACCAACATACGTTGGTGAACAGTTTTTAAAATTAATCCCAGAAAATATTAATAAAGAAAAAAGTTCAATTAAATTTAAAAGACAACTGAAAGCTTATTTAATTAACGAGGTAATTTACTCGCTGGATGAATTTCTAAACCTCCCTCTTAAATAAATAAACTAAATATGAATGTATCAACAAAGCTTCCTTAGATGAGTTGTAGGAAATAATGTTAATTTAAGCATTGATAATTTTAAGAAACCTTTGATTATGCTTTTTCATACCTGTATTTTGACACTATTTATGTATGTTATATTAACAAAACAATCTGCATAGACCCACTGCAGATTGGCACACTACGATAATACAACTAAATGTCTTCAGTTTAAGATTTTAAAAACTTCAAGTGCTTTCCTTTAAAACACCAAAACCAGCTCTGTACCTTGATTCATAAAATTTGTATGAGTTTTCGAAGTGGTTATGTCCCTTTTGAAACACCCTGTACTTTCAATGCGTGTACTTTGGTGTCAAGGATGTTTGTAGGTAATGTTTTCCGAGTTCATATATTGAACACAGATCTTAAAAAGTGAAAACACACCTTATGTTAATTAAAATTATGTGCATGATATTTTTCAAAGTAACTTATATCGTCGTAGTGTGACCAAAGAAGAAAACAGTAAAAATTTCCGTTTCAAACCTCGGCATTTGTAAGAAGCTAGACAAAAATATTTTGTTTATTTACGTTTTCAAACAATTACAAAAAAATTGTTGAATGTGGACTGTTAATTAGTTTAGTTACAGTTGTATTATTACTCAAAAGGTTGTTAATTTGATCTACTTTGATTCTTTCACATTGTGTTTGTGCATTGTAACACATGGCATGCATGCAATACAGTGAATGTATTGCAAAAATGTAACAGTTAAGTTTATATAGCATATTTAAAGTCAACGGATGGACCATTTGAACCAAAATAACTTAATAAAGTGATCCATAGTAATACATATACAGTACAAGAAAATATTTGGTTTTAGCGCAATGTCTACAAGCAAAACTAATTTTAAAAGCGTTCTGGGTCATTAAATGATTGTTGCAATGCTACTCCAATGCTGAGGGCCCCTCCGTTGACCACCAGTGGTGCAAGAAGTCCACTGAGGGCCAGTTTGTTTTCAATGTCATATTCTCGTGACAGGGTACGATCCAGTTAGACTTTATATTTATAAGTTACATCAATGGATATAACTAGACCTACTGACTTTTTCCAGAATTGAACCGGCATCCTTCTCAGATAAGCATTAGATAACCACCACTTATTTTGAGTGTGACGAAGCTATTGTACTTATTGTATTTAAGGGTAAATAAAGACTTATGACTTATGATCAAAGGACCTTTAGCTTTGCTTACCAGAAAGAAAAACTTACTTTTTAACCAGCAAAATTCCCCCAACAAATGTAGGGTAATGGTAGCGGGGGTGTAGTTCTGGTGAAGCAATGTGGAACAGGCCGACACTAGGGTAGTTGTATGACAGGCTAGGGTTGAGTGGCAGAAGGTCTACATCATGCATGGCTATGTAGTCGCAACCTTCCGCTACTGCCACTAGAAACCCAACATTGATGAGGGAGGCCCTGTTAAACCTGTACTGGTCCACCTACAACAACGAATACGTTAGTTATTTGTGTAACTAGTGTATGAAGTGGCATTTTTCTGCACAGAGAAATGTTTACTCATGAACCGCAGGCGAGTGTGGAAAGTTTCTTGAGCGCAGCAAAGGCACTTTGCTCTTGCGTTACACATTATATTTTTCCTACAGTTACTATAAAGTATATAAATAATTAGTCTTTCAAACACTATACAACACGTTTTTAGGATAGGTTAAATCCAAGCGTTGAACAAAATGGGAGACGCTGCACCAACTGATCGAAGTCGTAGTATCTTTAAGTGTACGCGTAGGTATTACGTGCCTGACAAAAGCCCACTGTTTTGTGTTGTTTGGTTGAAGTACTGGAGTGCGGTAACAAAAATGAGTGCGGCAAAAGTAATTAAATGCAGCAATTAGCTACTTTGCGTACTATAATCAGTGCAAGGAAGCCGGCTTTGTCAGGTAACTGTAGGAAAAAAAAATATTGACTTACTAATATATTTGTAAAATATATGAGCCCGACGATTCCATAGGTACTTTAAAGAAAAATATAACATTTAAAGATATTGAAGTAATTGGTTTATTTATTGGATCAAGAGCAACTTTATAGCAACTTGCTTGTGATAGAGCAAGAAGAATGTAATTTATTTAATAAATTATCTTTATATAGCCTATAGACAGGCCTACTTAGTTAATTATCTCATTCAACAATCAACAGTATAGAACCGTAACCAGTTGGTCACTGGCCATGGCTTCCTGAAACTGCACCTGCATTGCTTGAGGAATGTGGGCATTCAGAGGAGACAGCAAATCACCTACTCTACGACTGTAAAGCTCTGAACGAGATAAGGAACAGTACTCTTGGAGCAATGACAAGGGGCAGACACCTTCCTCAGGAGGAGCTCATAGATAGGATGCTGAAGTTCATTAAGCAACTAAGGTTTGACAGACTACCATGTGGGGAGTACAAAAAGCCCATCAGTGGCTGACATGCAACAGGACAAGGTCCGCCCCAACAGAATCAATCAATCAATCAATGCTGTTAAGAATGTTAAGGACCATCACATACTAATTTCAACCAAAACCGTTTTTTTTCCAAAATAATATTTTCTCTTACTTTATGGGTTTTTAGATGGGAAAATTGCATAATTTACAACAACTTTTGAACCATAATTTTTACAGAAATGGGATTTGTACCATTTTGTCCAGAATTTAAAGGACTATAACATACAAAAATTGTATCAAAATCGTTCGGGCCATTTTCAAGAAAATCCAATATTCCTGTTATTTTATGGGTTTTATGTGAAAATTACCATTAAAAATAAAAATTTCAAAAAAATTAAAAATAAAACGCTCGGAGATAGGCCTACTATGGATTAGTACCTACATACCAAGTTTCATCAAAAGAAGACTACAGGTGCGGTCTGTAACTCTGTCAGATCCACACATACAGACACACACACACACAAACATCATTTCAAACACCAGTTTTTTTGGGTTCAGAGGGACCCAAAATGGACATATCGACTCAAAACTCAAACTCGGAAAATGTTGACGAAAACAATAGGCCTACTTTCTCCATATACTCTGTAAAGGGGGAGGAAGTAAAAATCTAGTAAAGTTAGTTGTTACAGATGTTTACTAAAAAGTATTAAAAATAAAAACAGATAAGTTAGACCTATAACTAAAGTATGCAAAACTTATAAATTGAGAGTGCATACTGCCTGAAACAGAAATGTAATTTAGATCCTAATTACAATCACAATTTTCTGGCCTAATAATCTCTAGTACTGTACTATATTTCCCAAAGTTTGTAACGGTACGTCACTGATATGAAGAAACGGCATTTGGCTTTTTAGTCGTAATAAAAAATCCTAGTGAAATTACCTGATTGATGATATAAATCTTGTGATTAATTCCTTGTTTAGATATAAAATCATGAATGTGAGGAGCAAATTCAAGCAGTTCTTCAAATCTTTCTCGGAAAGGCACAATGACTCCAAGTTTATGTTTAGGATTAAACTTTGATTTGCTCCCAGGAATATCTCGTTTGCAATTGCATTCTTCTGAAAAATCAAACATTTACAAAATTTATCAATTAGCACATGGATAACAAGCACACTAACAGACTTGAAAAAACACAAAAAGGTAATTTTTAAAGATGGTTAAATAGCCTACTTTTGTTCTTTTATATGGGATGGTCTTTGGGGAAAACCAACTCATATTTAACAGTTATCTGTTCACGGGCACATTTGCTTTGGTGCAGACGACCATCTCCAGAGCAGTAACGGAGCATTACAAGACCTAGTAAGCATTACTAAAGGGGCCCACTACCTAGGCGTAACATATTAAAGGAACATTTTTAAATAAGCTTTGTGCCCACTAGTCAAAAAAATTGTAGATTTTTAGTGACATTTGACTGTAAGAATTTCTTACAATATGTGCAGTTTGTCCATAAGTTAGTAAAAGAAGGGCATTCTTCAAATACACAGTTGACTGTGAAATTGGTCAGACAGTGGTTTAAACAGTCCAGTTGTAGTAATAAGGCTTAGTTAAATTATTGGGCCTTTCCACACTGCACAGCACTAGCAACACTATTTATTGTGGCACGGCCACATTTAACTCGAGGCTGCGGCCTGGTAGAATGGGCAACGTCGCAAGTTAGTGTTGTTCAGCGCCAGACGCCCCATAAGATAACATGGCAGACAGATGACGCCAGCTCATTAATACAGGTATTATTCATTTAAATTTAATGTAAATAAATGTGTATTAAAAAATTGAAAATAAAACATAGAGTACACTTCCATATCTGTTGGCACAAACAACCGAATGAGTAATAATGATTATTCGATTGTTTAATTCGATATATCGTTTGGTTAGTTAGGTTTAGTTAACCTTACCCAACTAACCAAACGATATATCGATCGATATTTTCATTCGGTTGTTAGTGCCAACAGATATGGAAGTGTACCCAAAACATACAAGTTAAGCAATAAATTAAAAACCAAAACAATATCATTTGATATTTTATATTTCTGTACATTTAAAATAGTCAATATTTTCATAGCCCAGTAACCAAGCTTTCGTATTCTTAAAAAATACACAAATCCCATTCGCTGCCTCCAAACAAAACAGCTGTAACAACACTCCTTGCGGCGTGCCACTTCGAAGGCCGCGGCCTACAGTTAAAGGTTAATGGTGGCCATGCCTGGGGCCTGTTCATAATTAAAAAAAACTACAAGTTACAAATTGTAATAATTACAATTAACTTATAGTAAGTTAACTTTTAATTTCCATTAGATCTGCATTGGGTGATTAGCTGATTTACTAATAATATTAGTTTGTAGTTTAGGCCTATTAGGCCTATGAAACAGGCCCCTGATCATGAGGACCCGTGTAGTATAGAAACAACTGTCGTCAGTGGTCATGCTTTTGTTGTGGTGCAGTCAAGTGTGAAACTCCCAAATGGTACAATTTTATTATTCCAGCAGATCAGGGGTTCATGCCCTCATCTACATACTTGGCTTAAATTACCTACTTTTGTATGGCCCCATTTCAAAGTTAAGAATTTAAGTATTAAAAGAATAAAATTAAGTATAAATTTACTTGTTCCCTAGGCCCTATCACTGCACCAGGCAACATAAATGTTTAGGCTCCAGGACAATATTATGTTAATTGCTAGGCCTACCAAAGGCCTATGTAAAACATAAGTTACACATAGCCCAAGTTAGGCCTGTCTTTGTTTACCTGAGGGCAAAGATGAAATCGCTATAAAACAGCCAATAAGAAATATAATTGTTATACAAAATAAAATAAACTTTACTTTGTACATTCCACTACTTCTATATCCGGATAATAGCATGACTCTTTATAACATATTTGTACTCAAACATATCTCATATTATTGAATAAGAGTAAAAATACTTCACGTCTAGTTTTTCGTTTTCAAACATAATCTCAAGTCATAAATTTTGAATCATAAATCTTAAAATTACGCTGTAATTTTAAATCTTATGCCCTAATGTTAATAACAGAACACGATGCACACTGCACAGAGCCCCACACCAGCACAAATCTGTGTCAAAACAAAACAAACCTGCTGCTGCTGTTGTTGTTATTTAGCAGAAGACAAAGCTTTTTTGACAGACCCAGTTTTTCTAGAAGCTATAGGCAGTCGTGATTTCATAGCATCAGGCGTAGCAATGATTTCGAAAGTAACTATTATCATAGATAAAACATACATTTGTTTCCCGTTATTACAGCCATTTAAAACCTCGTTTAACCAAATAATACGATCTAATCATAAACAATAACTTGTCCCCTAGTTATATAACCAAACAGTAAAGCACAAATCAAGAAATTAACCCTAAAATAATAGAAACAAAGTTTTGTCGACACTAGCGCCCATGTGTCACGTACATGAACTAGACACGAAAAACATGCTTCAAAATTTACAATGGGATGAGAAGTCTACTTGTGTTGGTTAGTCTATGCTATTATCATAGATCTATTATCAATGAGATCTACAAAATTAAATACAGTATTTAAGGAGGATTGAGTGAGTAATGTAAAGTATATCCAGTTTAATATATATTTTTTATTTGTTTACCTTACAATCTGTTCTATAATATGTCAAACAATAATTAAATGCCATGCAATACAACAAAGTAACTTTTGAGCACTAAAAATAGATGTTAAGCGGTTTCATTAATAAAGCAAACATTTAGATACGGTATATGAACTACTGCTATAGTATAGTTGTTAGTCTCTGGTACTGTCCATATTTTTATATTTTCACTCTCATGAAATAAAAAAATGATTATTTTATTTTGAATATCACACCTTGAAGAGGGGGATATTTAAATTAACATTGATTATAGAATATGAGTTTGACTACTGTAATTAGCTTTCCAAAAGTCTATTTGAACTAATGTATGTTTTATATTTGCTAATATTCACGCTTTTACCTCGGTGTTCACTTTCACAACTTTTCATGTTAAGCAGCGTAAGTGGTTAACCTTAAACTTAATGGTAGAGATTCGAAGTCATGATCGATGCTCCTAGCATGTGGACACCCTTTTATAAATTTTTTATATGACTCTTCGTATACTCTGAATTTTCTGTTTAGTGTTGACTTTTAACGAATTTTCCATATAGGGAATAAGCTATTACCGTAATACTCATGGTGAGACCTGGACGCGGGACCGATTTTTTTTTCGTTTTGAGGTCCCTAGAGGGTGTACCTTATCCAGCAGGTGTTCACCTTTGAGATTTAAGTTAAATTTAACAAGCTGGCCTTTCTCTCTATGAAAAATTAGAACTATGAGTTTTAAATAAGAAAGTGCAATGGTAAGATATGAGACCTGATTAATGGTTGTATTTCTATGGGAGCACGTTAAGGTGCCACCACGACACACAAGGATAAAAACGTCGATACATCGTCTATTTATGGTAATACAGAGAGCCAGAATACATATTATAATAATTATCGTATCCTACCTTAAAATATCTGTTTTTAAGTATGACTGACTGAAGCGAGCAGCTGATACCGTTCCCACAATGCAACATTCTCAATTATAAGCTATGCCCCAAAATCAGAATTATAAGGTATCACAAAAAATCAGGATTATAAGCTATAGAACAGAATCGGGACTATAAGCTGCGCCACTATTTGACCATTATAAGTTGTGAAACTTAAAACGTTTCATACCTTATAACGTATTAGAGGAAGTGTGGCATAGCTTATAATTTTTCGTGAATATGTGGCATAGCTTATTTTTAAAACTGATTATAAGCTATGCCTCATTTTCAACATTATAAGCTATGGAACAAATTCACGATTATAAGCTATGAAATTATAAAGTAAAGACCCCACGCCCCCTAGAGTCCAAAAACACCATCAGTTCAAATTCATTATATAATTCATTAAATAAATATATATATATGTTTAAATATATATATATATTATGTATATCATATATTATATATATATATGTGTCCGATAGCACGATAACTCGAGCAAAAATGATCCGATTTTGATTCAATTTAGTATAAATGTGTAAACCTACATTTTTTCGAACGAGTTTACGAACCAGCATGAACTATGGGAACTGGGGTTTACGGGGGTTTTATGCGGTTAAAATAGGGGTTTCCCATTTTTGAGCAAAAAAACATAAAATTTTGCAATTTCTTTCCAAACCATTTTGTAGAGCTTAAAAAAACAAATAATTTAGTATATCGAAGAGTTATTATGCGCCTAATGGTTACAGAGAGAATTCCAAAAAAAATTTAATTTATAATTCCCATGTTATTCTTATGGAGAATAAGAAAACTGTTGTACAACTTCCTTACTTCTCGAGTGATGTAAAGTTGAAAAAAAACTCACTCGATGAGGTAATGAAACCCATTTAAATAACATAGAGTAGAGTGCTTAAAATATACGTCTATGGAGCCAACGACGTTCAATGAATGTTATTGTTAGGGTCTGACAAGGGAGGTACACATGAGGCAACAATGACACCATAGTTTAGTTCAAAATTCCTCCGTTAACAGCGTTGTAGTAGAGAGCACAGCGCGTAATTTTTACTTCACTATTATTAGGCCTAGTCTTCTATATATATAAAATTCAATGTATGTTTGTATGTTTGTATATTTGTATGTTTGTATATTTGTATGTTTGTATATTTGTATGTTTGTCCTTTATGGACTCCGAAACCGCTCGACAGATTGTAATGAAACTTTCAGGCATTATTAAGCATTATTCAAGGATGGTTTGTGTGAAGTTTGGTGCAGATCCGTCAAAAGGGCTCCGCCCCAGTGGCTCTGGAGTTTCCCATGTTAACCTTATGAGTACTCATATTTAAATGTAATTAAAGAATCTTAACAGCTGGTTCAACTAAACTATCTGATTCTGTGATGTTCAATAGCATTAAAAGTTAATAGGTTTACCAACAGGGTGCAGCACTATATATATTTTTTTAATTTATGATAACAGCTAACTTGCAACCTGGAGGCGAGTTAGCGTAGCGAACGAGCTAACCTAAAGGCAAGTGAGCGCAGCGAACGAGCTCCAACCTAAAGGTGAGTGAGCGTAGCTAACGAACTTCAACAGCTAATTAGCAACCAAATGCTGAGTGAGCGTAGCGAAGGAACTTTAACCAGGACATGATTGAGCCATGCGAACGAACTCATCTAAATCCACACTAGGACAGGACGACGTCTGTCGGGCCAGCTAGTTAATTATAAAATTAAGAAAAATTATAAAATATAATCTTAAAATTTTTCAATTATTAAACAAAACTGTCATAACCTAATCAAACGTGCTGATAATGAAAATATCGAATGAAGGTTTACTAATATAAATATAGTTTTGTTTATAATATAAAATTATAAATGCCAAAAAATTCAACTTTATAATTTTTTAATTATAAAATTAAACTGTCATAACCTAACCAGACCTTCCAAACTTGCTGATATGAAAAAAGTTGTTAACTAAAAGTTAGTGCTGCCAGCGGGATTTGAACCCGGCACCTTCGGATTATTAGCCGGCACGCTATCCACTATACCACCGAGGCCGATGGCTAACCTCCGTATCGTTGCGGTAATGGTGTTCCCTCAAGAGGAGATCTGACAGCTGACGTCATCGAAGGCTCTTCTGTACCTCTCTTGAGTAAATACCGTGAAAGCATATTCCTTGTTGAAGGCATCGTGGGCATCTTCCGAGATCGTAATGGAATCAAGAACGTACGATCTACGCCCATGGTGAAATAATGAACATCCTGCACCATTGCAAATAAGACAACACCGTATTTTACGATAATCGTAAACATCTTTCGTGGTTGCGAGATCTGATTATTGTCATCCGCGATCGCTGGGAGTCGTGATTTTTGATCGCGCAATCTTTGCAGAGACTTTAGGTGATCGTGAAAATATAAGTTCGACCCACAAGTTGTACACCCTAATTCTAACAGAGTATTGGCGAGATTTATTTTCCAAGATAAAAAATATTCGTTTGTGATCCCAAGTGAGGCCCCTTCCCAGGCCGAGGTCCTTGGCAATCGCCGTGTTCGCCGTTAGAGGAATGCGGCACTGATTCCGTGATTCGGGGGCCTATGTTGGTGTGGGGTCTGGGGCGGACCACCCTCCCCCCTCCATCCAAAGGTACACGCTACTGCGATGTAATGGTGGAAGGAAAAAACAGGTGTTTTTCGTTATACCATGTTCCATGTTATTTCCATGTTGTTACCATACCATGTTTCCTTCCATACCATGTTGCAATGTAGTCTATTTTTTTACTGTATGATCAAGCCAGTCGGATTTTTAACTTTTTTAATATATGTCCTTTTATTGATACTAATAATGCTTAAAGTTAACATGTTATTAATACTTACATAATGGTATGTATACAAATACATGTTAAACAAGAAACGCTATAAAGATTTAATATTATTGTGTTGTTGGACAACCTGCTCCGGCAACCATTTCGGATTCGGATATCGTCAATCGTCATCCTCCGTTTGCCGTTCTTTCTGTGTGCAAGAAACCAAGCACGTGTGTTGATACTTTAGTGCATACCTTATTCATAAATGTGTTGTTTATTATATGTTATTCGTTCTTAGTTCTTACTTTCTGTAAAAGTAGAGTTTTCGTTTTTCCTTACCAAACCTAAACAAATCGCCATGAATCAAGAAAAGTTGAAGAAACTTCAGGCCCAAGTGAGGATCGGAGGGAAAGGTACACCGAGAAGAAAGAAGAAGGTTGTACATGCTACTGCTGCAACAGACGATAAGAAACTTCAGAGCTCTTTAAAGAAGCTTTCAGTAAATACTATTCCAGGTATTGAAGAGGTTAATATGATTAAAGAAGACGGAAGTGTTATTCACTTCAACAATCCCAAGGCCCAAGCCTCATTGGCCGCCAACACATTTGCCATTACAGGACATGGAGAAAACAAGCAAATCACAGAAATGTTACCAGGAATTCTTAGTCAGTTGGGTCCTGAAGGATTGACACAGCTAAAGCGATTGGCTACAAGTGTTGCAAGCAGTGGCGCTGGTGGTAAAACTGCCATCGAAGAGGATGACGAAGTTCCTGAGCTGGTTGAAAATTTTGATGAAGCCAGCAAAGAGGAAGTACCCGTCAATGTCGCTGCAGAAAAAGATGCAAATTCCGCTGAAGGAAAAGAAAACAAAGACCCGGTGAAAGCAGAATCGGAATCGAAGGACGATAAAGCTGCTTAAACTCCAAAATAAGAACTATCTTCTTTGCTTCTAAACCAACAGAGGTAAAGCCTACAGTAACATTAATAGAAGGCCTAGGGCCTTTAAGTTAAGGGTAAAAACGCAGAGCAGAGCTAGGCCTAGTTAATGAGTTAGCCTAGGCCTACTTAGCTGGTAGCTTATCTGGTCGTTTACTTCCTATGTTCTAGGCTAGAATTGAAGTCCTTAGAACCGCTGCTAGCTGCTAAGTTACATATACTCCGCTAAGTATACAACGTGCTACGACAGCAGTTATGTTAGGTTGGGTTGACATTTAAATGCCTATGTTTGTAGTAGAACTTACCTCATTTTGTTATTAATCAATTTTTTTTTTTTTTTTTTTTTAAAAAAAAAAGGTTGGCGGCCTCTTTTAACCTTGCATTTGCCCGTCCACATAGACTAAGCGCCCGTGCGTGGATCGTTAACAGCAAAGCAAGGAGTGAGCCGGTACAGTACAAAGGTGAACTGTACTGATAAAATGTTATCGGCAGTGACCAGGATCCGAACCCACGACATCGCTGCCTTGGGCCCGAAGTCCGCGACGCTACCGACTGAGCCACCGACTCACTATACTAAACCTGGTTCTCAACCTGGTTGTTGTGATGTTCATGTTCATGTTTCTTTCTGGTATTAATTATACCAGATGAGTAATCACTGAGGACACTGACCCAGGTACAGGCGTATAAGTGAGCCCTCTCCGTTCAACGACCTGACCTTGGCCTACTTGGAGGGAATTTGGTGGGCGAAAGTATGACTCAACTGGTATCGTTCGATTAAAAACGAAACGAGGAAAGTCCTACAAACATATTCATGATAACCCAATCTAACATAGCCTAGAAGTTAACTGCCGCAGCGTGCTGTCCATATTAGGTGGGCCTCCGTATAATACGAAAGTACTGTTTAAACATTAGGCTAATGGAGATTTAAAATAAAAACTATGTCTTATAAGTTTACACTTGAAACATACATTGACACTTAACTTAATAATACTTAAATATACTTTTTTAATAATTTTCAATGAAATGGCGACCATACAAAGTAGGTAGGCCTATTTTAAGTCAAGTATGGATGGAGATGAGTGTGTAGGATGAGTGGCGCGATCTTCTTGTTAGTGACTAAGGCCGACAAATCCTTAGAAACACCTGTTAGGCCTAATTAAGAGTGGGTCCCAGTAAAACAAAATCCCGAAATGGCCGAAATTGGCACACTAGCGCGCGTGGAGTGGAGCGGACATTTGTTGAACTACGTGCGTGGCAGTCTCCTCGACGTCACAGGCATGTATCGATCGATAAGTGACTCACGGCGCGGGCGCGGTGTTGCCGAACCCTCGCCAGGCGCTAAGCAATGTAAGGCAACGCCGTATTAGCACTGGCGATGAACGAACTGCGTCAGTGGACTCGACGGCGATTCCACCCTGCTCCTGCTCGGAGTGACGTAGTGCACTAAAGTCACTTCCATCGCTTATTTACTTAGAACACTCGATTTTGCTCACTGCTCTTCGTTGTTAGTGGGTTTATCTAGGGTGGTTATTTAGCCTGTTACAATTTTATATCATAGAGAATGCTATGGGAAAATAATCAGTTTTGAAACAAAAGTTTTGAAGTGGAACAAGGATCATACAAAATTTTCTAAAGCAATAATTGAAATTTCTTATTAAAACCCTATAGTTTATCATGTTTTCGGATAGAACATGCAATGTAAAAACTTTTTTATTCGTGATATTTATTCCATAAACCCACAAGTTTAGGAGATACGGCCTATGAAAAAATGACTTCCGGTCTACTTTTTGTATCATGCAGCTCCTAAACGAGAGAGTTTAGCGCAAAAATGCGAAGAGTAAAAAAGTGTTGTACGAAAGAAAAATAGTGGAGCAATGCTCATGAAAAATAAGCAAAAACAGGGTGAATAATATTTAATTAAATTGATCTGTTATATGTACATGGTGTAACATGATCAATTCTGAGATTACTCAAAAATGAAACAAGTTAAGTAATTACATTAATGAATGGTAAATCGGATCCAACACATGTTGGAAACATTAGTTGAAGATCAAGTTTTCTAAATAACTTACCAACGTAAATACTGTTCAACTTTACAATCATGGTGGATGGCATAGGCCTAACCAAAACAACACTTGACAAACATACAATTTGTGAAACATTTACACTAGGCTTGTAGAACATCACAAAATGAAGTTATTTGCAATCTGTTTAATGCATAAGTTACAGATTTTTGTGATAATTTACCGATTACGTTAATTGTGATAGCCTAGTTGTGATACTAGATACAGTTATGGAACATCTGCTTAGCATATAATAATAATGCAAATATTTTTTTGAACAATTTAAGGGGGGAAGATGAATTAATCTTAATAATTATAATAACATCAGCAATGTTAATTAATTCATCTACATTCAAATACCGGTATCCTCCTCAACTCCCAGAAAATCAATTCAACAACTTGAGGCCTAAACATAATCATAGTATCAAAAGTATTTATTGCAACCATTGCAACTGTCCGCTCCTCTTTGACCGATTGAAAACATAAATTATCAACAACCACAGATAGTTCAGTGCTAAGGTAAGGAATTCACAGTCTGGAGGTCCCGGGTTCAAGACTCGCTGGGGAAAATAATTTTGACTCTAGTTTTTTCTCAAAATTTGTTTTTATGAACTATTTAATCAAAATGCTCAACTGATATATATGCATTTCACACAAAATCTTTATCATTTCGTGTTTAGGATATGCCCATGGGATGGCTGGTCCTATGTGAAAACAATTTTCAACTTGTTGCAAAGTCAATTTTAAAATTGTTGTCAAAACAGTTTTTAAATTGTTGTAAAACTGTTGCAATATAGTTGTAAAACAATTTTTAAAATATTTTAAATTTTGCCGGTTGTCAACAACTATACTCATATGAATAACAGTTTTAATATAAGTTTAAAATTGATATTAAAACAATTTTTTTCTCGTTTTTCTGCTACTTGGGACATCAACATTTCTTATAATACTTAAAATTTCTTATAAAACTTATCTTCTATTTCATTTTAATTTCAACCCCCACACTCCATTGTCAGTCCTTTTATTATAACGTTAAGCCTTTTAAATTTCATTGCATCTTTGTTCATTTGTTTCAATAAAACACCTTTTGTAATTCGTATATATATTTTTTAACTTATTAACTTATTTTTATTTAACTTTGTTAACTTATTAACTTTAAACATTTATAGAATAGGCCTAGCCTAAATGAATATTGTGAGGTGAGTTTACAAGTTCGGGAAGTAAACATTTCATATAAAAGGTTTCAAGTTTTTCTTTCATGTTTACTTCATGTTTACTTCATGTTTACAGTCATCGTCCCGATCAATTTTTACAGTTTTTGGACCTTTTGGTGTCCAAATGGCAAGTTTCCTCCCAACCTTTCGAAATTAGTTCTTCATGTTTGTCATACGTTTTCCGGTTCATGGCACGAACATTCATTGCAGACAGCAGCCGTTCTAAGGCGACAAATCCTCCACCATTGGTAATAGAACCGGCTACTGCTGCACTGTTTATGTCCATTGTCATTGCATTTCCCCGAGGTTCAGGCTCACTCCATATTGTCTGTTTGATGTGGCACATGTTGCAATCAAACACAAACCCACTCCTAAGCCCTCTTTTTATTTCACTAACTAATTTCAGGTTTCTGAGGGAACAGCCGAATTGAGGCGCATGTTTAGTTGGACAAATTGATCAACTAAATAACAAAAATATCAACTATTCTACGACCGGTAGTATCACAGTTGCCCAAACAGTCAGTAGGATCAGATGATAGCGTGGAATTGTCTACAAAGCCCAGGCGCATATTGTATTGAGCTGTGTGGCACGATACTGGCAGTGCAGCACAGCACAGGGCGGAATTGGGCAAAAAGTCTGTGTTGCACAGTTGACATCGCAAATTGGGAAGCAGTGTCGTGCAGTTCTCGTATAGGAGTAATACCGTTTATTGTGTATTGTTGTATGTTGTTAAATATTAGGATTTGAGTTTTGAGTCAGATTCAGGTGCTGATCTAGATTTATTGTTACTTCTTCACAAGAGAACAAGAAAGAAAGGGCGGAAAAATGTGCAATGTTTAGTGTTTTTCGTATTTTCTCCCAGATTTCATTCTTGTAATTACTATTTATACACTTACTATGACTGGTAACGTAAAAACTGGATAAAAATGCACAATTTCTATTAATTATCCTCTAGATCCGTCACAAAACTCTAGTAAAGCGTACCCGGCGCAGGTGAGCAATGCAGCACAGACACTTGAGAGTCGACCACAAGTGCGCGCAGTCCACGTGCGGGACTGCACTGCCCTGCCCTGCGCTGCGCCATAATATGCGCGTTTCCTAGGGAAACATGTGGTTTACAAAACACTGCCCTGCGCGGCACTACGCTGCGCTGCTCCGACTGCGTCTCAATATGCGCCGGGCCTTTGGAGGTAACAAATTTCCATCCTCTTCCCCACAGCTCATCGCCTCATCAGCAATCAGCTCCTAACATCACTACTTAGTTTTCTTTTTCTACTTCCCACAACACCAAAATCTCTCAATACTCTCCACTCAGCCAACCTTTCACCACCTCTGTTTTTCGCCTTTCTTCGCAACGGTCGTTTTTTATTTCCTATAATACCACACCCGTAAATAAAAAGAAGCACACGAAATGACTTTCTACATTTGTAAGTAAGTAGCACTACGAATTATTACTAGGGAACTCTAAACGTCACTGGACTTGTGGACACAGCAGACCAAATAGGTTGCTAGCCTAGAACATAACCTCACAGTTCACAATAACGTCTGGGATGGAATTGGCACGTTTTTTCAACATTATCACGTGACTTGCGAAAATAAGAAATATAAGGTGTAGGGGTGGGGCGAGTGCAACGTGTCTCGTGGTTACAGCTGTGATCGACCTAGAGGTTTTGGAGATTTCCTTCCCTACTGATAACATCTTGTCTCGGTGGTGTAGTGGTTAGCGCACCGGAGAAACGGTCTAAAGGT